CAGTTGGGAAAGAATCTGCCTACAACGCAGGAAACTTCCTGCAGTGTAGGAGACCTGGGTTCAATCCCTGGGTTGGGAAGATCTCCTGAAGAAGGAAATGGCAACCCATCTCAGTATTCTTGCCTGGAGAATCCCATGGACAGCAGAGCCTGACAGGGTATATATAGTCCATGGGTTGCAAAGAGTCAGATGCAACTGAGTGACTAACATTTACTTATTTATACATCTCTAAGTTATTCTGACACGTTTAATGATGAGCATGATCATTGTTATTCTAGGAAATTTTTAGGGCCAGGATACGTAAAAGAGCACATAATGACTGAAATTAATCCCCTTACAAATAGTCAAATAGAAACCTCATTTCCTTTCTCAATTCACTTAAAAGCAACAGAAATCACTGTGTGCCTACTATGTGCAAGCCCTTTATTGCCTTGAAGTCAGGAGTGACTTCTTGTTCATCATTTTACTGTCAATGTCAACTACACTGATGATTGGTAGATACCCAAAGTTCAGATGAGACTGAATAGTGTTTGGGGCCTATTAGCAAAGAATCTTTAAACTGTTTCCGTTTTAGGTTACCAATTTGTGTCATCGTGTTTAGTGATGCATTTTGTCCTGTCAGTTCAGTGCTCATCACCTTCAATCCTGCATGGAAACAAATCAAAACAAAAAAGGACATAGGTTAAGTTCTCAATATCACCACTTTTTGTTTTCTTGAATCCCAGCCTTCATTTTTCATGACCTGTGTCCTTACCCAGTTCAAGTAACTGCTCTCTGCCTTTCAAGGTTCAAGTGGCTGTGAATGGTTTGTGGAAAGAATGTCAACATTCACCAGGCGTGGGGGTCAGTGCTGCCTCAGGGGATCCTGGTGAGCAAGTGGGGATGAATTTTGCATTGAGGTTGTAGGGAAGTCCTGAAGCACAGAAAGTATGTGCAATGAGGGACCTGGAGAACTTATCCTGTGTTTGGTGAAGGAAGGAATAGAGCATGGATTTGCAATTACGTGGATGTGGAACACTAGAGCACAGTTCTCCAGGAGCTGAATCTAAGCCCTTCTAGTCCATGTGACCCAGAAGCAGGAGACCTTCTGGGAAGACAAGCCCAAGGTGGTTCTTTCTGTGACCATTTAATCACCTGAAACCATGTGAACCAGGATCACATGTAGAGTTGATTTCTGTGTCCTTGTGGACATGCTCTTCATTCATGTTTGCTTTCCCAATGAATTAAAATACAGGCTCAGAATCTTCTTCAACCTAGGATTCTAGGTAGTAACTACCAATGAAGTCAGGCCTGGATTTTAGAAATAAAACCAACCCCTGACCTAATAATAGATCATTTCAGTGGCAATGGAAAACACCTCTTGCTCCTATTTTGATTTTCTCTTGTACTTCCCCAATAAAATTCCCTGAGCTGCATTATTAGAGAAATGCAAATCAAAACTACAATGAGATATCACCTCATACCAGTCAGAATGACCATTATCAAAAAGTCTACAAATAAGGGAGGGGATGTGGAGAAAAAGAAACCCTCTTGTACTGCTGATGGGAATGTAATTTGATACAGCCACTATGGAAGACAGTATGGAGATGCCTTGAAAAACTAGGAATAAAACCACTATATGACCCGGCAGTCCTACTCCTAGGCATATACCCTGAGGAAACCAAAATTGAAAAAGAAACATGTACCCCAGTGTTCTTTGCAGCACTGTTTTCAATAGCTAGAACATGGAAGTAACCTAGCTGTCCATCGACACAGGAATGGATAAAGAAGCTGTGGTACATATTTACAATGGAATATTACTCAGCCTTAGAAAGGGACACATTTGAGTCAGTTCTAATGAGGTAGATGAACCTAGAGCCTATTATACAGAGTGAAGTAAGCCTGAAAGAGAAAGAGAAATATCATGTGCGAACACATATATATGGAACCTAGCAAGATGGTACTGATGAAATTATTTCAGGCCAGCAATGGAGATGCAGACATAGAGAACAGACCTATGGACCTGAGGGAAGGAAAATAGGAAGGAGAGGGTGAGACGTATGGAGAGAGTAACATGGAAACTTACCTGGCTGTATGTAAAATAGACAGCCAATGGGAATTTGCTATATGACTCCGGGAACTCAAACAGGGGATCTGTGACTACCTGGACAGGTGGGATGGGGAGGGATATGGGAGGGACGTTCAAGAGGGAGGGGACATATGTATATCTATAGCTGATTCATGTTGATGTTTGGCAGAAAAAAAAAATTCTGTAAAGCAATTATCCTTCAATTAAAAAATAAATTAAAAAAAGAAAAGTTCGGCTCTATATGGATGAAACTGAAAAAAAAAAGTGAAAATATTATGAAAAAACAAGTTCCTTGAGCCCGTCTTTGCACAGATATGTCATATTTTCCTTGATAGGAAACACAGTCATCCTCTTAACCATTAGAAAATGTATATTGAAACTTACGCATTCTTCCAACTTTGTTCCTGTCTGTTCCCTCTTCATGTATTCTGTCATCCCCTTATGCTCATGTGTCCTCTAGGGCACTTATTTTATTTTATTTCCATTTATTTTTATTAGTTGGCGGCTAATTACTTTACAATATTGTAGTGGTTTTTGTCATACATTGATATGAATCAGCCATGGATTTACATGTATTCCCCATCCCGATCCCCCCTCCCACCTCCCTCTCTACCCAATCCCTCTGGGTCTTCTCAGTGCACCAGGCCTGAGCACTTGTCTCATGCATCCAACCTGGGCTGGTGATCCGTTTCACCATAGATAATATACATGTTTCAATGCTGTTCTCTCGAAGCATCCCACCCTCGCCTTCTCCCACAGAGTCCAAAAGTCTGTTCTGTACATCTGTGTCTCTTTTTCTGTTTTGCATATAGGGTTATCATTACCATCTTTCTAAATTCCATATATATGCATTAGTATACTGTATTGGTCTTTATCTTTCTGGCTTACTTCACTCTGTATAATGGGCTCCAGTTTCATCCATCTCATTAGAACTGATTCAAATGAATTCTTTTTAATGGCTGAGTAATATTCCATGGTGTATATGTACCACAGCTTCCTTATCCATTCGTCTGCTGATGGGCATCTAGGTTGCTTCCATGTCCTGGCTATTATAAACAGTAGGGCACTTATTTTAAAAGAGCTTCTCTCTAAACTGTTACTTGCATAATCTGCCCTCCTAATTTTCTGTCTCCTGAAGCTCTGGTCCAGACCTGCTGCATCCACATATTGACCAAATATTTTCTTCTTAATCTTCAGCAGCCTGACTTCCATCCCTCTGCATTGTACTATTGGCGCTACTGCTATTTTTCCCTTTATTGAGGACTAACAGTGGTCCAGGAGTTGTGGTTAAATATCATATCTCACCATTTAATCACTTAAAAGATAGCTCTAGGGGGTCAGTGCTAGAAACTAGATATAGAGATTAATTTAGTAAATGGAATAAGGAGGAATTAGCTCTGGTATAATTGTAATACCAATGTCTTTAAGTGCCTAAAAGGCCACTTTTATTTATTTACCTTTCTTTTACTCTTTATGTCCCTCAATCCAACACTGTCTAAAAGAACTTTCTGTCATGATAGATTACTTAATTCTATATCTGCACTATTTTCTTATGGAAGTCATTTGCCACATGTGGTGTTAAGCCATTTGAAATGTACAACTGAGGAACTACATTTTAAATTTTATTTAAATTTAAATAGGCACATATAGCTAGTGGCCACCCTCTTGGACAGCACATATTCAATTCTTCAATGTCATTAGGCCTTGTCAATAACTTCTTCTACTTACACTTTGCTTTTCCTCAATTGCAGGGATCATGATCTCATGATTATTTGTTGTTTTCTACTCTCTTTGGGGGTTCTTTCCATCCTTCAGTTTCCTATATGTGGGTTGTTCCCAAGTTTCTTTCTCAAGCCTCTTCTTTTCCTACATTTACTCTTGGCATTAACACTCATTCTCATGTCTTTCAATAATTTCTTAAGATGAATGACCAAAATTTTTCCTTTCAGTCACAATCCTTCTTAGATTGTTTTAGACAATTTTCAGGTTTTGTACTGAACATTGCTACTTGGATGTATCACTAGCTCCAAGTATGTGACAAAAACAGGAGTGATTTTCCTTTTCAAATTTGTTTGTAACATATTCCCTGTTTTTATTAAAATCCTTCAGATTTAAAACTTCTAATTCTTCTTGGGTATCATTTTTATCTGACCCTGTGTGAAATCATTTGCTAAGTTTCATTGATTCTGTCTTGCAAATATCCCAAGTTTATTCCTACCTCTTTCCCAGCAGCAGTTTCATTTCTGAGATTCAACTATAAAGGCTCTCAGAATGATTTCCCTGGAATATTATAATAATGCTCTAAATGGCCTCTCTGCATCCAGTCTTCATTGATTCAATTTATCCTCTCTACTGCTAATCATTTAATCATTTTGAAGTCTTGCTCTGAACATTCATTTTCATGCTTGTAAAACTTTGAGGGCTTCTGATTTAGCCCAATTAAATCTCATGCATTTCATTCTGGATTTTGGCTCCGTTACTCTCTCAATTTTCACATCTATTTCCTCTTCCCCATGGAAGCTTTCTAGTCTTTTTGGTTAGAAAAAACATCTCTTCTTTCTTCATATCTCATAGTAATATTGCTTTCTGTCTTGCTGTATTTTTATTTACATGCACATCTTGCAACTTCCATTAGCTCCTTAAGTGTAGAATATTGTTTTATTTGCATCTGTAATCCTCACGATACCTAAAATGATATGATGACTTCTAAATCATGGAATTTATATAATTTTAATTCAGTTCTTAACTTTTTAAAAATTTGATTTTTGTTTTACTTCTTTCATACCAGACACTCTTTAATCTTTGTGAATACAAGGTGAAAAAGGACATACTTCTCTAAATATTTCAAAGTGTAGGAAGAAAGACATTCTAAAAATTATTTTAAAACAAAGTGTTATGCATATAGCATTAAATTTATGTTAATATGTTCTAGGTACAGTCTGGCACAAAGGAAAGAGTAATCAAATCTGAATGGGTGACTTAAGGAACTTTTAGCACACCAAGGTATCTTGAGAGATCCAGATGTTAAAGTCCTTGAAGGAAGAATTTACCCAAAAGTGTGAAGATGGCAGAGTACCCAAGGAGCATGAAAACTTTGAACACTGACCTAGAGGTATGAAATGGCATGACATTTATTGGAAAATTACAAGCATTTCTGAGTGTCTAGAACACAAGGTAATTAATACATAAAGCAGTTAGAGGAGGAGAAAGGGAAGATGTAGAAGTTTAAGCTTTAACTTCTAGCATAAAAGAAGAATCTTGTATGTTATCCTGAGAACTTTCAACTTTCTCCTGGAGGGGAGCCGTTAGGAGTTTTAGCTAGGGGAAATAACATTTTTAGATTTGCTTTTTAGAAATTTCTCTCTGGGAGGAGAATGGAAGGATTCAGTATTAGAAGAAGCAAGGTGGTTCAAGAAGTTGTTGTGATATTGCAGGCAAGAGAGATAAAGCCCTAAATTAAGGTCATGGCAGAGAGGATGAGGATAAAGGATCCAATAAATGACTGGTGGATGGAGGGTAATGGAATTAATGAAGAGAATGTATTCTACTGAGGAAATATTTTGGCAAGCAAGGGTATGAACTCATTCATTCCTTAAAGTTTTGGACTTGCTGATCTTACAGGGTTTCTAGACCATCCAGGCTGAAGTGTCCATGAGGAAGCTAAGCACAGAAGTATGGGCGTCAGGAGAACCATGTGATACAGAGATGTAATTTGAAGTTATCAGCTTTTAGGTGAGAGTATAAACGGTTTTTCCAAACTCTGCTTTGGGATAGGATGCAATGACAAATAACCCTAATATCTTTTCAGTGATTTGTCATATTTTTTCTGTATTTGAAGAAAAAGATTCATGTTTAAGGAAACTAATTTCATCTCTCCTGATCTAGGCTAAATAGGAAAGGAAGGGATAAGTAGGGGTTTTTTTTTAAACATTTATTTATTTTTTTTACCTGCATTGGCTCTTAGTTGCTTTGCAAGGGCTCTCTCCTTGTGGCGCACAGACTTTAGAGTGGAGAGCTCAGTGGCTGCCCCAGGGCGTGTGGGATCTTAGTTTCCTGACCAAGGATCAAGCCCTCATCCGGTTCATTGGAAGGGGGATCCTCAACATTTGGATCACAGGGAAGTCTCAGGAAGGGAGAGTTTTGAAGGAAGATAGCTACTGTAATATTTATTAGACTAGCCAAAATAAATGCTCATCTTTTTAAATTATGAGTTGAAAATTGAGGACAATCTGTGTCAGTCTATATCTGAGGAATAATGTATTAAAAAATAATGATAATTTTGGAACATGTTTAACAAAAACAAAGTAAGATCTTTTGGCATCTTATTCCTGACTGTAATTCTATTGTGTAGATGTTGTGTAGCCCCAAACTCTTGTTGTTTTATTTTTAGGAAATCGAGTCTTCAGAGACAGAAATTAAAATTAAGACGGGTACAGTCTTTCCAGCTGTGATTTCCTGAGTTCTTATGTTCTTTTAAATTTTAATGTTGAGATTTACTCATCCTCAAAAATACTTTAGACTTAGACTGAGAAAATATTTTGCATCATTCCCCTCCAGTTGTGTATTTTTTTATATTTGTACCCCCAGTGTGCCCCCTATTCATTCTTACAAGCATACTTAAAAGTTTAGTAGTTTCTTGTTCAAGGCTGTTCAAGTTTCTTGATTTATACTTATTTTACTTCATTCCATAATTAAAGTGTATAGCACTGCTATATCTTATGAAGTATTTGACTTTTTCTGCTAACAAATGTATCCTGTAAGTGGTTTGATTGTTTTCCCATATCTGTTTATCTTCTTCTTTTCTTCTTTTATACTGAATCTGGTGTGACATCTAGCAATTTGTTGAGAGACAGCATACCCAATGATGGATGAATTACAGTCTCACTTTGAATTCTGGGGAAAAGGAAGCAGAATTTTTTTTTTTTTTTTTTTTTGAGAAGGACCATTGACGCTGAAACTCTTTCACTTGACCATTCCCAGAGGCTGGGACTGCTGGCCTCAGGGCCACAGAGGAAGACCCATCTGTTTTCTCAGGCTCTGCTCTGGGGAGAGATGGGAAGGAATCTTTGTGAAATCTCTAGGGACTGGTGAGGATTGTTGAGACATGTTTATAGTTTAGGTCTGCAAAGAATCATCCGTGACTATTAAGATGAGGCATTTTAGTCTATTTAAATATTTTCAGAGAATATTTTATTACTGCAGTAGTTCATAAAAAAAAGCTAATTCAATATTCTTTTCCTTTTTATGTTCCTGCTATAATTGATCTATGAATTTTATGGAGACACATTCAAAATAATAAAGGCTAAAAATCATTTAGAAACACACAGATTTACATATATTCATATGTATCATTTTAATCTGTAAATGACTTGAAAGTGGAATTTTAATATAAATGGCCATCATTATATTAGTCAGTACTCAGTGTGTTATGCAACTTGTAAACTTCTCTATAATATTCCCTTATGATTGACTATTAAATGTATTTATGCATTAAATTCTTAAAATTATTTTTTAAATTTACATTTATTTAACTTAATTTTCTATCATCCTGTACCACATCATAATCATATTTCTCGCATTTCCTGAGTAGCTCTTATCAGTTTTAGAATCCATTACTTTACTGAGTGGAGCTCAAATTAAGTTATTCTGCTATCTTGTGGTTGCAACTTGAAATAGCAAAAGCTGTATTCAGAAGTTAGACTTCAAGTTTATCTATTGAGATATAAAAAAAAAATCATGATTGCTGAGAAAGGGCTAAGTTCCCTGAGAGAACACTTGATCTTAATCAAAATTTCAATAGTTATCAAATCACTTTCCCTCAGTGCCTAGGCAGACTCTGGAAGCAAGTATCACATTGCAAAGCTGCTAGGAATGGACTCAGGGCTGGAGAGCTACTTAGCATCATGGTTGAAATTATCCCTTGGTGGTGCTAAAGAATTAAAGATCCTACTAATTACCTCCCAGAAACTCAGGTTCTGAGGGCTGAAAACAAATGCTTTTCTAGTAGAGAAATTAATTTGCTGCAGGTCTACTAAATTTCCTTTTCCTTTCCACACTCAAGCCCAGGTTAGAGGTGGACTCTCTGGATACAGACCTTAAAGAATGGAAGGACTCCAGCCTTGTGGAGATTTGTCAATATAGCTTGCTTTATTTTGGGTCCAGTAGTGATTCTGGGCAGGAAGAGAGGGTGGGAAGACACAAAAGTATAGTTTTAGGTGTTTCCAGATGTGTAGTTCTGCTGATTCCCTTACCCCCATCCCCAAGCACTGTGAGTCTGTTCCTGGGGTTGCTCCCATGTTTTGGCTGAGAAAACCAAGGGCTTGGCTGCACGCTGCTACCTTCATCCTCCCACTACCATCCTACCTTTAACCTCCCTCCGGTGGTGCCGCTACCACCATCCTCTACTAGTAGCCTTGTCAAAGTGCCAGAGGCCCCTTTAGGTCACTAAGATGGCACTAAGATGGATCCTTAAGGCAGCTTACTTCTCATCTTGTGAAGGGAGGATTGGCTTCTGCTTATATTCTTTTTTTTAATTTATTTTTATTAGAGTATAGTTGCTTTACAGTTTTGTGTTCATTTCTACTGTACAGCAAAGTGAGTCAGCCACACACATGTGGTGGAGGGGGTTTAGTCGCTAAATCATGTCTGACTCTTGTGACCCCATTGACTGTAGCCCACCCAGTTCCTCTGTCCATGGGATTTTCCAGGTAAGAATACTGGAGTGGGCTGCCATGTACTTCTCCAGGGCCTCTTCCCAACTCAGGGATTGAACCTGGGTGTTCTGCGTTGCAGACGGATTATTTACTGCCTGAGCCCTGTAAGCCTTTATATATATATATATATAATATATATATATAATATATATATATATAATATATCTATATATATACATATATAGATATATATACTCCCTCCCTTTTGGACTCCTGGTTTCTGCTTATATTCTTTCCTTCTTAATCCCCAAACCTGGAAATTATCTCTAAAAAGTCTTATTTTATAGAAATTCTGAAGGATGTCCCCCTAGCTAAGAAATAACTTTTAATTACAATGTTAACTGAAGAATCGGTACTGGAACCAAGTCTTTCTGAGTTGAATTGAATCTCTTCACTTCCTTAGATAAGTTGTGTTTGATCTATGTTGTTTATGCCTCAGCTTTAATTATTAAACCTTTATTCACTAAATCCCACTGTAGTGTAATCAGCGAATAGACGCACATCTGCTCCGTCCTAACACCACCTTTTAAAAACATCTTGTCCTTTATAAAGCCCTCTATTTCCTCTGGCAGATGCTGAAAGTATTAATGGTGTCTAAGAGGCTTCTGTCTCTTAACGAGTAGCAGGTGTGGTCAGAATGCCTTATTATTTATCACTTCCTCACCCAGGATATTGTTCTGTGCTTGTAAGGCATTTATGCTGTTCTCTATCAATGCTTCTTTATTTCCTAAAGAGCATCTCTGTGACTGAAATGAACCTTACACTTTACAGTAAACCTTGACATTTGCTACTGCAGAGACCACCTTCACCTGGCCAGGGACAGTGGTGGGGATCAGCTAGAGCAGCTCTACTAATGTTTCCCAGATTTGGGGATTATGTGAAGTCATGGGGTGAGGTAGTGGGTGGAAGAGAGGGGTGTAGAGGAGGGAGGTTTCCTTCCTCCCATGAGATCACTGTATTTTTTGATACAGCTTTCAGTTCTGATTTTACTGTATGATTGGAAACCTTTCCCAGTCTGATTGCTCCAGATGGATTGGAACTGGTCCATTTTAGATTGCTGTGTTTGATATTCTGCTATGAGATTAATGAGAAAAACACCTTTTTGAAAGCACGGTAGTTTTTTACTCCTAAGGCTGAATCCAAATGACTGTAGGTATGAGAATCATTACATTGATGTAGCATAAATTGTTTGATTGAGAGTAGAGAGATTTTAGATTTTGCTGTTGACCTTCCTGGAATTAATTTCTCTCTCACTGTGCTCAGAGCTTCTTGAACTCATTTGATTTTTTCACTTATTCAGATTTTCTAAGATCTCTGCTTTTCTGTTGGGATGAATGGAAATGTTTACCATTCCCTTAGACATAATTTTCTGGTTTAAGCTTTAAATGCATCT